TTTGACCGATGATCCAAGCCAAAGAAAGGGAAGGTTCTGCCGGTTCTCTAAGCTTTCTCTGGACGGCGATTTGCAAGCGTGAAGGGGCTGTTCCTGAGCTTAATCCATTCCACCAGCAATAAGGGAAGAAGAATGCTGGAGAAGGCTGTTTTTCAGCACGGTAAAAGGGAAGTTCCTGTCTTCTTTTAATCTTTATGTTTTCTGTCTAGTTTATAAGTTCTGATTTCAGTTTCTATAGGTTATATTTTCAGTTCTTATGATTTCAGTTCTTTGTTGATTTCTACATGCTGAGGTTTCGGTTTATATGTCTAAGATTATGCTAGAGTACATTTAGTATGCTATAGGGTATTATATATGTTAATGTGTATTGAACTCTAGCATTAGGATTTCTGAACATTCTGGGAAATTTGTATTCTGGTTTTGGAGCCTACTTTAATTCAGAGAACTTGGATATTGGAGTTTGTCATTGCAAGTTTGAGCTAGTTTTAACTCTGTTGCACTTTATATTTTGCTACTGAGAGTCTGCATTGTGCTATATATTCCCAACAAACTATATATGCTATAGACATATTCTAGGCACAATTTATAGCCGTAACCCATAGTACAATGGAAAAGATTATCGACTAAATTGTTATCGGTGAGTTATATGAAATAAAATTAACATTTTGATATGTTCAGAATTAAATGATAAAATTAAAATTATACTTCGAGGTGAGTGACTATTTGTAACTTTTATCCAAGACTTTCACATGTAGCACTAGTGTAAAATATCAAATTTTTTTCTTCATAAAATAGAATTATTTATTTTATATACTATTTTTTAATATTTTATATATAATTTCATTTTTATAAGAGTCAAATATTTGGATATTGATGGAGTTTTGATAAGTATATGAATATTAGGTTCGTTGGATAGATCGTAATTAATTATGAATATTGCGCTCGAGAAAAAAGTTAATTCTGATAAGTGAGACCCAAGTTATCGAGATCGAAAGATATTGCCTTAAATTGTAATTTAATTAAGTTATTTAATGAATTGTGAATTTTAATGGAAACCACATGTATGATATGTGTTTGTATTTTAAATTGTGGTTGGTTTGACACATGTGGGAATCCTAAATTTATAAGATTTAGTCAAAATTTTGTTTCAAATACTCTTATCCAATTACTTTATCTCACTCTCAAACGTTTCCCACTATGCACCAACTCTTTAGAGTTTAGGTTATTATTGCATATGTACATATAAATGTATGACCTAATGGTGGGTACGCAAATAAAATATACATTTATACACGGCACACAAGCAGAAGCAGAATAGTTTGGAACGTGATTTTGGGGGTTTTCATCTTTCAAGAACTTATACAAGGTAGGATAACGAGTTGTAGTTGTTTTATCCCGTTTAAATTGTTTATTTTCATGTTGTTGAATTATTATGCTTATGAAAGTTTAATGATATGATATGATATACATGTTATGGTCATCAGGTACCAAAGATATGATGTTTATTAAGCTCTTACCGATTTCTAAAGATATGATAACGGTATGATATTTTGACACATCTTTTAAATCTTTTATTCGGGATTGCACCATTATTTTTTATGTCCTACTGAGTATTCCCATGTACTCACCCTTTTCTCCTACTCCTCACAGGTTAATGCTTCGTTTCGCTGGACGAAAATTTAAAATTTAGCGCGTAACTTTATTCCTTTTTAGTTTAATTGCAACATATATTATTTCAAAATTTAATTCTTGTACATTTATTTGTATATGGATATGTTTAGATTGCACTTTTAATTGAAAGTTTGAAATTAATTGTTTAGTTGGCTGTTCAACACATTAAAATACTTAGGCTCTATTTGTTTCGGATTAAAATCAGATTTTAATTTAAATCAAAGTTAAACAATCAATATTAACCACATCTTTCATGGGTCTCACAACTTTCAACCTCACATTTCAAAAATTTTAATCACAATCTACTAAAAATCTAATTTTAATCCCTACCAAACACCCGCTTATTGTTATAGTTTTATCCAATAAATTTTGGTAACAATTCATATTTAGTTCTATACAAAATTTAGGTCGTTACAACAAGAGTACGAGTTGCAACTAAATTTTAAAATAAATATTTTAATTAATTAAACTTCAAATACGAAATTTTACTTAAAAATAAAAGTAATTTATTCAGTAAAAAATTAACTTTTTATTTGATTATGTGACAAAAGTTTAGATAAAAGTTTTAAGACTTTGATTGAATTTTGCTATATGTACACGCAGATTTACATCTTAGGCGACACAATGCACAAATGATATTTTGTCATCCATCTAGAGTGTACTTTTAAATGTACAAGTAGAATAATCCATTTTGATAAATGTATGTGTGATTAAAATATTGGTAAAAATTACATTAGAATTGAAGTTTGAAAAATTGATAAAATTTTTAAGAACAATTCTACCTGTATATAAG